TAAGCTTAGATAGCTTTCAAAGAACTTATCAAATTCTTCCACAGAGTAAGAGACTACTCTCAAGATAACACTAAGAAACCAGTAGAACTTCAATATAAAGCTAAATCATGAAAGCACAAGAATGGAAAATAATATGTAAGTCGGTAAGTATCTATCTCCCTCATACCCCCAAACACTAACGAAACAAACCCAGGAAAATATAAAGAAGATAGCAAAGCATAACGAAATTGAGTGTTTCTTAGGCATACACGGGTATTTTAACAGTAGACAATTTGCAACGGTTATTATCAAATCAACAGGGTAAAGAAGAAATACAATCATTTCAAAACGTGCAGAAAAAAGATCATTTGGTGAACTCCATCTAGTCGTGACAACAATCAACTAAGATGTATGAGTTTCTTTAAGAAGTAGTGTGTCTATCAAAAACGTTGGGGGAACCAGCAGTTAGCGTAATGGCTATGTCGCTGGACTCCCACGTAGTCGACCGCGGTTCGTGTCCCGGACCCGGTGGCTTAAAACTCACGCCGGGCGCGTGTGCATGCGTGCCCAAGATCCCGAGAGGAGAATGGAGGAGAAGGGATTGTGGCATGACCATCCCCCCTGGGGGGTGATTTCTCACTTTCTGTCTCTATGTCTCTCTCTGTCTGTCTGGCGAGTGCACGTGCCCTACAGTGAAAATCTCTCCAAAAAATAAATAAATAAAAAGTTGGCAAAGATTTTTAATAGCAAAGCATTACCACGATTCTAAAATAGCAGTAGATAATGAAACTCTGTTCGCATTAAAAGAACATCTTCTATAACTACTTCTCTTCAAACCATATCAGAGGGGCATTTCCATGGCACAGCAGTAACGTACTGTTCAGAAGAAGCTGAATCCCACATGGCAGCCATGGTTCAAATCCTTGGCCTGGTCAATCTGAAACACACCCGACATATGCATGATGCCCAATATCCCATGGAGGACTGGAGGAAGGGTATGGGGGCATGCCAGAACCCAGGGGAGAATGTTCCCCTCTCCCTCTTGCTCTTTCTCCCTCCAAACTCCCCCACTGACATGAACACACACATGCTCAAATTATACTGAAGTTCCCAGTCCTTGCAATAAGACATGAAAGGAATAGAACATATAATTGAGAAAGGAAGAAATTTTTTTTAAAAAAACTTAGTATTTGTAGACAGCTGTCTCTGAAGGAAACCATTTAGGAGAAAAAAATTTTGCAGTCAGATTTGTATACAAAAGCATGTATAATTTAAGAACATTCTTTTTTTTTTTTTGGAGAGGTTTTTGCTATAGGGCGCGTGTGCTCACCAGACAGGCAGAAAGAGACAGAGAGACAGAAAGCGAGAAATCGCCCCCAGGGGGGATGGCCACAGCGCAATCCCTTCTCCATTCTCCTCTCAGGATCTTGGGCACGTGCGCACATGCATCCGGCGTGAGTTTTAAGCCACCGGGTCTGGGACTCGAACCACGGTCGACTACATGGGAGTCCAGCAACATAGCCATTATGCTAACTGCTGGTCCCAAGAACATTCTTTTCACAACAAAATTATATATAGTATTAAATCTATCCAAGAGATATACTATGTATGAAGGAAATGATAAAACTCCAGAAAGCATTTAGAAGATAAAATCTATGAGAGATCTGTTTTGTAAGTATGTCAGATTTTCTACAAATCTATAGATGTAATACACTTTCAAAAAAAAAAAAATTGCAGCAGGCAGGCCAACTAGTAGCATAGTGGTTAAGTTGGTCAGATCCCACGTGACCAACCATGCAGTTCAAGTCCCAGACCCGGTGGCTTGAAAAACACACCAGATATGTGTGTGTGTGCATGCCTAAAATCTTGAAAGGAGAAATGGAGAGAGGGGAAGGGATTGTGGTGTGACCAACCCCCATGGAGGGAGGGAAGGGTGCTTTCTCACATTCCCTCTCTTTTACTCTTTCTGTCTCCAGCAAATGCACATGCCCTCTGGCAAATAAAAAAATATATAGCAGGTTTTTAAAACTGTGGTAAAATATACACAATAAAACATTGATCACTTTAACCATTTTTAAGTGCACAGTTTACTGGCATTAAGCACATTTGCACTGTTGTGCAACCATCACAATTACCCATCTCTGGAACTGTTTTCAAAGTTTATGTATTTATTTCTTCTGAAAGAGAAAGAGAGAGAGAAGGAGAAAGGAGGACCAGGCATCTCCAATAGGGTCTCCATGCCACAATCCATCCCCAGTCTCAGCTGGCCAGGATCACAGGCACACGCACTCCCAGCATGTTCAGGGAGGTCCCAGGCAGGAATCAGACCCAGTACCTACCTTTCTTGTGTGGGTCCAGCTGCATTTACACTGCACCTGGGCCCTCCGGAACTTTTTCATCATCCCAAACTGAAACTCTGTACCCATTAAAGAGTAACTCCTCATTCTCCCCTCTTCTTAGCCCTTCTTAACTAACCTTCTATTTTCTATCTCTATGAAGTTGGCTGTTCTAGGTACTTACTCCATATGAGCGCGATTCTTCTATTTTATTGTTTTTTTTTAGGGAACTTGGCAAACTGATTACTAAACTTGTATGGATGTATAAAAGACCCAGAATGGCCAACATAATTCTGAATTATATTTTAGATATAATTATATAGTAATATTTTATAATAAAACCAGGGTAATTGTATCACTGTATTGTTGTGTCAAGATATACAAGCAGGGGAACCAGCAGTTAGCGTAATGGCTATGTCGCTGGACTCCCACGTAGTCGACCGCGGTTCGCGTCCAGAACCCAGTGGCTTAAAACTCACGCCGGGTGCATGTGCGTGCATGCCCAAGATCCCGAGAGGAAAATGGAGGAGAAGGGACTGCCGCTTGACCATCCCCCTTGGGGGTTGATTTCTCACTTTCTGTCTCTATGTCTCTCTCTGTCTGGCGAGCGCACGCGCCCTATAGTGAAAACCTCTCAAAAAAAAAAAAAAAGATATACAAGCAGGAACAAGCAGATGCCATAATGGTTACGTCGCTGGACTCCCATGTAGTTGGCTATGGTCCAAGTCCAGGACCTGGTGACTTAAAACCCATGCTGGGCACATGAGCATGCATGCCAAGATCCAGAGAAGAGAACAGAGAAGGGATGACAGCATAGCCATTCCCCCAGGGGGTGATTTCTTGCTTTCTGTTTCTCTCTCTTCCTGGTGAGTGCAGACATCCTATAGTAGAAGTATATCTCTAAAAAACAAAAGAATATACAAACAGGCTAGGAACAAAGTGGACATCCCCCAAATGGACTCCCACATACATGGAAACTTAACAAATGCCAGAGGAGTCATTGCAGATCATTAGGAAAAGATGGAAAATTCAGTAAATGTTGCTGAAACAATCCCTAAAGGAGGAGGAAGAAGAAAAAACTAATTAGATCCCCTCATCAAACCACAGACAAAATTTCCAATGGGCTAAAGAACTGAATGTGATATATTTCATGACCTCAAAGTAGACGATATAGAAGGTGTTGAATATAAAAGCATGATACATTCCATTATAATTTAAGAATTTATACTATTATGAAAGCATCATTTTAAAAAATAAGACAAATCACAAACTTGGAACTAATAGCTGTAGTATCTAGAGCAAGAGAGGATAAAGTGTCCCTTAAAAAAATCAGTAAAAATAGCACACATCTTCTTTTTTTAAAAGAGATTTTTACTATAGGGCAGGTGCACCCACCAGAGAGACAGAGAGACAGAAAGCAAGAATCACTCCCCCAGGGAGGATGGCCACGCCGCAATCCCTTCTCCTCCAGTCTCCTCTCAGGATTTTGGGAAAGCATGTACATGAGCCTGGCATGAGTTTTAAGCTGTCAGTTCCAAGACTTGAAGTGAAGTCGACTACATGGGAGTCCAGTTGTGTAACCATTATGCCACCTGCTGACCCCAAGATCAAAATTCTTGAAAAAATAAAATTGAAACACATCAGAGAGCATGGTAAGTACTAGGGTGGTTAAGTATCATGTCATGAAACACTGGCTTAAGTGAGTCTGAGTTCAGAGACTCTATGGATATGGGGCTGTCTATGGTGATGTAAAATGTGCCTCTTACTCTGTCAACTAGGTTTGAAAGCCCTCTAAAAACTCTTGTATATGTTCCCCAGAAAATATGCACAAGAGTTTTCATAACATATTTGTGCAAAATACAAAAGAAAAAAAAAGATATAGCCAAATGTCTGCAAATATTGAAAATTAGAATGGATAAGTATAATAAATTGTGGCACATACTTATGATAAATATTATGGACTATTGTGAAGAGTAGCTCTTGGAGCTAGCATGTGGCATGGTGGTTAAGGCACTGGATTCCCACGTGGCCAACTGTGGTTCAAGTCCTAGACCCAGTGGCTTGCTTTCTTACCTTCCCTTTCTCTTTCTTTCTGTCTCTCTCTGGTCAAATTAGAAACAAAATAATAATAAATAATTTTTTTTTAAAAAAAGAGTAGCTCTTCAGCCACACATATCAATGTGGGTGACTCTTAGGTTTACATTGAGTCAAAACAGAAAGTTAGAGAATATTGTGCACACTATTCTTTCTTTATAAAAGGATATTTTAAAAAACAATAAAAACAACCACAGCCTAGATTCTGAATCCAGACTACCTATGTTCAAATCCCAGCTCTGCCACTTACCAGCCATGACATTTTGAACACACTATTGAATCTCTGTGCCTTGGTTTCCTCAATGAAATAGAAGTAAGAACCTACCTCATGCTGTGGTTTAGAAATAACTGTAAAGTTCTTGAACAATGAAGATGTAACAATAAAGGAACAGAAACAGAAATAACAGGACTAGCGGTGTTTTTGTTTCTTGAGTTGAATAGTGGGTGCACAAATATTTATTCATTTATGCTTTTTTGTGTATGTCAAATATTAAAAATGTCAAATAGTATGCCATGTCCAGGCTCACAAACTCAGGCTCAATAAAAAGACACTGAAGGCAGATGACAAGGACAGCCTGAACAGAGACCTACCTGGTTCTCAGCTTGTCACCCACAGACTCAGCCCCGTTCTGGAGCAGGCTGAAGAATGGCTTGTCTTCATACTGCTTGGTGTACTGGGCCAGCAGTTCCCGCGCGACGACCTGTGCAGAGAGTTCATCACTCATCAGTGATGTCTCAGATAGGTTAAAAAAATGCCATGGTGACTTTTTAAAAGTTTATGAATTCATTTCTTCATGAGAAAGAGAAAGAAAGAAACAGACAGACACAGAAAGATGGGCACTCTAAACAGGATCTTTATGCGTGATGCATGCCCAGTCTCAGCCAGCACAGATTATAGTCATGTGTGTGTGTGTGCCTGCCATGCTCCGAAAGCTTGTCTCACGAACCCGGGACCTTTTCCATGTAGATCCAGTTGCATTTTTTGGCATCAAGCGTGTCTTTAAATACTGCAGCCATATACTGTCTATTTGCCACTAGCAACTCTTTCCAGAGGCCTGTTTCTCCACGGCAAGTGCACAGTATTTACCTGACTCTCCTCAATCCCTCCCCATAACCAACCTCACTAGCCGCTTTCTGCTCTTTCTCCCCTTGCCTGAATCAGCATCCAACACTGGTCATGGGACCAAATACTTCAATTGACATTTCAAATGAAACGTGCTTGCAGACCGGAATCCTGTGTATAGGCGCAGGCATCACATGTCTTCCAATGTTTTTGTTTTTGACTATAAATTAATTTTTTTTGGTTTCCTTGAAGCATGACCTTAAATTCTTGAAAGTATGTCTCTAGACAGATTATATAAACCATGATTTCATTTCAGGATAGTAAGGGGAGCATTACAAAATACTGATTGTCAAAAGGAAGGCATTTGGTCCAGTGGGACTAAGAATCACCGGACTGTAGGTCAAAGAACATGAACATTTTTATAGCTGTTGCTATATAAAATACGTGTGAAAGTCAAGCACTGCCAGCAATGGGGGGGAAAGGGAAAATGGACTAACTTTAACTAGAACTAAAATAAAGCGGTAACAGCGAACAAGTGCCATTTCACTCGCACATCCCTAGGATTCACATTTCTGTTGCTAGTACATGCAAATCTGTTAAATTTATGATGGTGTCAACTCTATCTCCCTCTTGCTACAAAAGCAACACCACTCAAAGTATTTCTTAAAGATGCCTTTCTCTGATTCCCACTCCTCTTTAGCTTTACCTGCTTTATTTTCTCCCCAACATTAATTGCTACCTGGTGACGCAAAGCACAATGACTTGTTAACTGACTTACAGTCCTTCTGCTACCTGGAGTGTAAGCTCCAGGAGGTCAGAGTGTGTTCATCCTTGTACCATCAGACATACGGCAGAGTCAGAGTTGAGGAATCAACCTTGAGTAAGCGAATGAGTGAATGAATCCCCTTCTTCATCCAGATTCCAGTATCTCTCCTAGTAAATTTTATTTCTTAATAATTCTCTTTCATTTTTGTCACATCTACCTTTACAACATAAGTGACTTACCTTGAGAAAGTGAGCTCACTCTCGCTAGAATGAAAATAAGAGGGATACACTAGATACTCATATGACTGCCCATGGTCCTGGATGGCCGAGACGGGGGGCAGACTCAGCATGAGGACATTGTTAGGGGTCACTCTCTGCCTCTCTCTTGGACATACATAAATAAACTAAAAAAAAAAAAAAGAGTGAGACAATCACCAAGTTCAGATACTAAAGTTAAGAGAAAAGAGATAAGTGGGGTCCTAGCTGATCGCATAAGAGCATTTGAGGGTCTTTGCTCCCTTTCTAGGTCATGAAAGGAAAAGACATGATTTTAAAAATGAGTTTATTTCCTGCTGTTGATGCCTGCTTGGAGAAAGAGTAAGTGATTGAAGCTGCCGGTACCATGGGATTTGGACATGATAGTCTCTAGATCCAACACTTGGATAAATCACCAGAGGGAGGCAAAGATAGATCAGGCGCACCTCTACTGAGCATGCAATGACGGGCTTGTTTTCATCTCCTTGGTGTGTTCCTGAATATATTAAAATATACTACATACGTTACATATATACACAGAGAGAGAAGGTTTGACTTTCCATCTTAAAAATATAATTTCTCATTTCTCCTCTGTCTCTCCCTCTCTCCAGCAAGAACAAGTACCCTAGGGCAAAAACCTAAACAAACAAACAAAAAGTTACAAATTCATAGATCCTGCAAAATGAAAATAGCACAGAAAGGTTATTTCTGGTCATCCCTTAGATTCCCCCAAAAGTGACCTCTTACAGAACACTAGTAATTACTAAACCCATTAGCTTCAATCAAATTTTTTCATCCATTGAACATTTTAGTTGTCATGGATATCTCATTATTTAAAATGGACCTAGTATTAGATCATTTAAAAAAATATTACATTTTGCAATAGGAGGGTCTTCAAAAAAATTAATCAAAAATAGGTATTATGAAAAAACTATGCATGGACTTCCAGGTTCTTTTACACCAAAATAGACTTATGCTTTAATCCCGTTGTTTGTGAACTTTTCAAAGTATCCCCATGTACGTGATCCCACCCTTACCTAAGTCTGGCATTTTTACTTACTTTACATATTTTCATAAGACATTTTGTGATATTACCTTTTTCTAAGTGATTGTGGGTGGGGTTTTTATAGCTCTGTACAGCAGTCCCTGGTTCTAAATGTGAGAATAAAGCTCTTTACTCTCTCGTACACCTGCTCAGGAGCCCTCTCCTTGAGAGAATTCTATGGTGATTGAGCACAGCATAGTCATGTTCTTTTTCTTAAAAAAAGAAAGATCCCATCTGCCAGAGGAATCAAACTAATCTATAACCAACATTTGGAAACTCTGAGTCTAAGCTGTGTGCAGAATGATGACATCATAAACATGCACTTATAATGAATATCATATGCACCGTGCAACACCGATTATGTAACACCAATAAAAGTTATTTTTTTGGGTCAAATCACTTTTCAAGGCATCTATGAAGAAACTAACATGTCTACACACTAGGAATTTCACTGATTTATGCCAGGTACAGTGAAACTTGGATTAAAAAGTTTAACAAAGTAGTGTTTGCTGCCAAGGCAGAAACACTTAGAGCCAATTAGAAAGGAATATATAATTCCTAAGGAAAACCCACCAAATATCCATTCTGCATCCAGGAACTGGGATGGCATTCAGGTTTGTGCCAAGTTGGGCTATGGAGGGACTTGAAGTGGCAGTACTTACGACCCTACATCCCAAACACACTCCAAAAAGCCCTAGGTAGCACCAGTGACACAACAGGGACCCTGACGGACATAAAATGCAGAGCCTCTGTGTTCCGGTATCACTAAGAATTTTAGGGCCAGCATTTGGCATGGTGTTTAGGCACTGGACTCTCACATTGAATCCCGGACCCAGTGGCTTGAAAATTACACTGGCGCATGCACTTGTACACCCAAAATCCTGAGAGGAGAAGGGGTTGCAGTGTGACCATCCCCCCAAGGGGTGATTTCTCACTTTCCCTCTCTTTGTCTCTCTTTCTCTCTCAGCAAGTACATATGCCCTATGGCAAAAAATCTTAAGGGAAAACAAAAAAGACTTTCAAGAGCCAGCCCCATGGCCTGATGGTTAAGGGATCTGGAGGCCACATGGCTGACCATGTTGTTCAAATCTCAGTCCCAGTGGCTTAAAAAATTCTCTGGGCATGTGTGTGTGCATGCCCCAAATCCCGACACAGTAGAGAAATGGAAGAGAAGGAATTGCAGTGTGACTGTGCCCCATTGAGGGGTGGGTGCGCTTTCTCCCTCTCTCTTTCTTTGTCTCTGTCTCTGGCAAGCACACATGCCCTCTGTAAAATAAAACAAAAAATGTGAAAAAACAAACAAGAATTTCAAGATGGTGAGAACAGAGTATCAGATCCACATGGGCCCTCCTAGTGCTGGTCCCAGTACCACTGTTCAGGTCTCAGCCTATGAAGCTGGCCCTGGCCCTAAAGGTTCTGATAAGATTGTCAAGTAAAATATAGAATGCCCAGTTAATTTGTGGACACCCAAATATTGCATGTGACATTCTTACACTAAAAAATTACTCACTGTCATCTCTGTAAATAACAAATTAGCCAAAACCACAGACAAAGATGAGATACCAAGATTGGCAAGAGAGAAACATCAAGTTACCTACAAAGGATATTCCATCAGGCTTACAGCAGACCTCTCAGTGGAAACAATGTGAGCAAGGAAAGAATGGGAAAATATATTCAAAGTATTAAGGGAAAAGCAATTTCAGCCAAGAATACTGTACCCGGCAAGATTATCCTTCATACGGGAAGAAAAGACGAGAACATTCCCAGATAAACAAAACCTGAAAGAATTTACCAACACCAGACCAACTCTCCAAGAAGTTCTCAAGGGAGTGCTATGTCAGGAAAATTAAATACAGACACACAGAAATAAGAGTTCAAAAACTAAGAAAATGGCAACTTAATCATAGGGACAAGTCTGGAGTTGAATGTTATATCCCAGAATTTAATCAGGAAAATTGAACCACAACAGAAGACAGATTAAGTACATGAGACTGAATTGGTAAAATTGAATCTAATGACTTTTGACTAAAACATTGCTGATTTTCTTCTAGGCCTTGTTTTCCGGTTTTAAGGATTTTTGTCTTATGTTGAGCTGCCGATAGGTTCTTGTACCTACTATTTGAACAGAATCCTAACCTGTTTCCTGGCTTTAAGTTTTAAGCAAAGCTCTCTTAGCATTTCTTTGATTTTGATTTTTTAAAGCTAAAACTGCTTCTCTTGAAATTAAAAAATAAATTTAAAAGTACCTATTTAATGACCACAGTAAGCTATATAGCATCATCAAGGTGCTACTTTATAGTATATTCATTCTACTCAGAGTTTCATGCCTAAAGTCAGACACGTATTTGCAGATATGTATACATCAGATGAATTTGCTATTGAAAGTAGATTATTTAAGAAATTTTGTGAAGCAATACAACGTGGGGGAAAAAGGAATGGAAAGCAACTCTAGACACCAGAGATCAGTGACAACATGTATGATTAAGCTGAGAAAGTGTTCTGGAAAGAATGTGAGATTGACTCCTACAAATATGGCAGTGAAGTGAATTTTGCTCACGCTTGGTCTAGTGTAT